GGTAAAGAAATTATTTTTTTATAAACTAACCTTAGCTTTTGTGTTGCATCAGATAGAACCCCTGGTATCACAGTGGTGGTGCGCCCAACTAATAAAAAAAAAAAGTCAGCAGTTTGAGCCTTCGTGCTGCTCCCTAGGAGAAATCTGTGAAATCGGCTTATAGCTTAGGGCACAGTTTTGCTTTAAGCTACAGTGTGATAATGAGTCAAAATCACTTGACAACACTTGAGTTTGAGTTGCATTAGTTATGTTTCAAGTACTCAAAAGTGACATGTAGTTAATGGCTCCATATTGAACAGAGTGAAACAGAATATTTTTATATTAAGAGAAAATTTTATTGTCTAACACTACCCCAGGTAACATTATTTCCTTAACAGATATTTTTAAAAATCCCCAAAATAAAACCCCTAAAACTTTGTAAATCTATGGGCACCTTAAATGGTTGAACTTGAAAGTCAAAGCTTAGCCAAAATGTTACCCTCTTCGTTCATTCTTTTTGTAAATAATTTTAATCATCTATTTTGTACAGAGCTTGGAATTATGATTTCACAACAAGCTTATTGGTGACTGTGACTTCCACATGGGATAACAGATGAGATATAATTACAGCACAGTTTTATTTAGTCATGTGGCATTCTGTTATAAGAATCATTTTATTCTCAGTGCTTTCTTTAAATAAAAAATTACTATAATGCTCTTGGCTCAGTAGGATAAACAAATGTCATGCCAAGTCTCTCCATTCCCTGGCAAACACTGATCTTTCTCTTCCTCTAACAGCTCTTTATATTGCTAACTCTGAATGTTTTTGCTTTCCCTGTAAGCTTCTAGGGCCTCATATCACTGTTTTCTTAGTGATGTCTAAACAATGTGCAAAATGCTACAGTGTTTTAAAACCATTTAAGGAATAATAAATGGTATTTACTGTAGTCTTTGTTTTCATGTATTTCAGTGTATTTGACTCCTTTGAGAAATGTAACTATTCTGTAGCACTCATCCCATATCCACAATAAGTAATCAATAAAACTAATCAGGTAGTAATTAGACCAATGAAGAAAAAAATTTAAGGTGAGGTGAAGAGTGACAGAGGTACTTTAAATAGGTTCTAGGAGGGTCAGGGAAGGAGAGAAAGACCCTCAACCAGATGGAATGACGAGGTGACTGTCCCAATAGTCTCTTGTGTGTCAGAAAGTGTGAGGATGGCACAGGATAGAGCAGGGTTCAGATCTTTTGTTCATATGGTCGCTAGGACTCATACTCGCCTCAGTGGCACCTAACAGCAACAATAGTTCCTTGTGCAGAATACTTGTTTCTTCCCTTAATGAGGGCTAAATTTAAAATACGTTTATAATTGAAATCATAATAAGATGTTCAGAAAGGAAACATCAACACAAAGAATCAGACGTAGCTGTGATTTTTTAAAAAAAATTTGTTCAGAATTCCTTCTCCCATCAGACTCTAGAAATGGAAGAATTGTATAAAAATTAATTTTATCCTTTACTTAAGAAGCTTTAAGTTCATGGGTTTTATTATTGAGGCACATATGGATTTCCAGGATTTCACAGCAGCACCCAGGTCTTCTCCCTTAGAGCCCTGTGCATCTGTATATTGCATTACCACTTCCCATGATGTAAATTCCATCTAACTTTGCATTTTTCTATGTGTGATTTAGTATTGCTTTTTAAAATGTTTTGAATGTATAATTCCAGCCTCCCCGGAGTCTAGTGGTTAGAAAAGTAGATATTAGTTAATAAAACTGTTACCTAGTATATACATGTAAAGCAGAATTCCTGAAGATTGTTAGGTGCCATCAAGTCCAGTACAACTCACCTATGAACAAAAGATCTGAACCCCATCCTATCCGGTGCGATCTTTACACTTCCTGGCATATTAGAACCCAACACGGCAGTCACTACTGTCAGTCCACCTAGTTGAGTCATCTTCTCCTTTGTGCTCCACTCTTCCAAGCATCATGCCCCTCTCCAAGGAATAGCACCTCTAGAAACATGCCTGAAGTATGCGAGGCAGAGTCTCATTATCTTTGCCTCCAAAGAGCACTCCAGCTGCACCCTCTCCAAACACATAATTGTCTATTCTTTTGGCAGTCCATGGTATGTTCAGTATTCTTCTCTAACACCACAGCTCAAAGGCATCAATCAATTATTATGTCCTCCTTATTAACTGTCCAGTTTTTAGATGCATAGCAAATTATAGGAAAGACTATAGACTGAATCAGACTCACCTTAGTCTTCAAACTGACTACCCCTCAATAACTTGGAAAGATCACTAACTGCAGACTTTCCCAGTGCAATACATCTCTTGTTTTCCTGACTGCTGGTACTAAGGGTGTTAATCCTGAAGATTAAGAATTATAACAATATATGTTATTTAGAATATGAGCCAGACAATATGCAAAATGCTTTATATATATGCTCTCTAATCCTTACTTTGATCTCAAGACAGTTTTCATTATCTCTGCAATAAAGTTTTTTATAAACTAAAATTTTAAGTGTTAAGAAACATTTTTTTATTCCACAAGGCCAAATGCAGAGATTTAGTCTGTCAGATCTTTTTTTTTTTTTTTTTTTTTAGTCTGTCAGATCTTGAAACCTTTTGCTAGATATCCTAGGGATTCTGGAGACATCAATGTTGAAAACTGTCTATCAGTGATGATTTTCGGTTTATATATATTTTATTTGGTTTTGAATTAGGCCTTCTTCTGTTTTTAGTGAGCATTGAACACATCCTTTTTGTGAGATTATGTTCTTTTTAACTCTTCAGATACTGTTTTTTGTTTGTTTCAAGCTCATAGGTGAACTTCATCTGTTTTTCTCTGTATTTCAGTTTGATCCATTAACAATTGAAAGCAAAAATGCAGCAACCGTAGTATTAATGCTTCAGTCTCCAGAAGAAGAAGTTTTGGCTACAGCATGTGAAGCCATTTATAGATTTGCGTTAAAAGGTCTGGATTTTTCAGTTTCTTAAAATATTTCAATACATAGTAAATACTTTTATCTCAACTCTCCATTCTCCCCAGTCTTTACTTCCTGTCAGATGAATCTTACACACTGACATCCAATGTCTCAGGTATTAAATACATTAAATATATAAAAGTGTTTCCCTAAGTATTGAATGTTAATAAAGAATCTTTCCAGAAAGTAAAATTATTTCTCTAAGTTTATAACTGAGCCTTGAGAAGTCATATACCCCCTGGGAAGGATAGCCATTTAAAAGATTTTATTTAAGTTAGAAAAATTATGAGTCTTGTAGGAACTAACTAAAAGAGTTTGATTGTTAAGCTGCTAGAAACTGAGCAATAACTAGTTTACCAGAGTATAACTCAGAGTATAAAATAGAAACCCAGAAGTCCATGCTGATATAGGTAAATGGTTTAAAGAAAATCCATATCTCCCATGTTTCATAATTCCAACAATTATGTAGATAATCTGTCCTCAAGAAATGTAAATTCTACTCTCTTTAAAATGTATGCTCCTCTTAGTAATTTCTCACTAGTAAGTACAATAAACAAATGGAGAAAAATGAGTATCAAGGTGACCAAGAGTGATAAGCATATGCACTGTGAATATGACAATAGTGACATTTATCTATGGTTATTTCTACAAAGATCCATAATCAAACAAGCATTGTGATAAAAGAGTTATATAAATTCTTTTAAAAAAGAAATAAAAATACATAAATTGCAATTTAGGAGCACCCCAAAAGCAGAACACTCAACAAAACAAAGCCAGAAAAATTATCACAGCCAAGAACAGTCTCAGGAGACACAATGGCTAAACGTAATCTGGAAAGCTGGACTAGAAAAAAGGACGTTGGGTTAAAATTGTTGTAATAAATTCCATTCAACAACAATAATGGTGTTGGCAAAACTGGAAAACTATCTGCAGAAAAATTAAACAAGATCCACACCTCACTCCATATACAAAAACCAACTCAAGGTGGATCATGGACCTAGGACTAAAACCAAGGACTATAAACTTCACTCAAGAAAAGCTTGA